TTACATGAATGTGTGTAACGCGACTGAACGTCATTATGAGAGATCAGTACAACAGTAGCGATTACTGCAACAAATGGAGAATAACCCGCTTCGATCATTTCTGCCGATACGAAAGACACGCGAAGTTCGTAGAATCAGTTAAGGCGTACATCGAACCGTACTCAAGGAAAGAGATTGCGTGATTCATCCAACCAGTTAAGACAAGATAAGTGCGATTCATCCAACCAGTTAAGGTAAGATAAGTGCGATTCATCCAACCAGTTAAGACAAGATAAGTGCGATTCATCCAACCAGTTAAGGTAAGATAAGTGCATGTTATTAGTGGACGCAACTGAACGTCATGATGCGAAATCAATAAGCAATGTCAATGTGCATACAAATTGTTTGTATCACAATTGTTTCGTAACTGGGAGTGTTTTTAAGGGAATGGGGATCATATGCAGTGTTTTGTATACGTTTCGACATCAGCTACAAGAATCTGTAACAAAAACTGACGAGTTCCATTTGAAATTTTTTACGTTATTTGTATGCAGCTCGTAAGGGTCATTTCAAGGTCATGCCGTCTATGCCACATAATACATCTTTTCATACCATAAAAATTATGTCTAAGACATTTTGTCGAAAAATGAATAGTTTCGGAAATAATTGTTTGCTTCCATACTTTTTCCCCACCCTGTATATTAATTAACTAAGATACTGTATGTGTATAATTTTTTTTCTACTTTTTGTTCACATTTTATTGTAATTTAATTACTGTTTATAATATTGGAAATTATTGTAGTTCACTGATAAGGACCAAAATCTATGGTCGAAACGTTGTGATTCTTTACCAACCAATAAATTGCCAGTATAATCGATTTAAATTACGTTATTTTATTTTATTTTTTATTGGATTATATATTAACAATTATATAATTCACACCAAGCACATACACACACAAACTGCATATCATATATAACTCATTTTATAATTTTTTTTAAATGCGTGAAATAATAATCATAAAAAAATAAATTATGATCAAGATACAAATTAACAAAATTTATATAAAAATAATGGAAATAATCTTATTTAGGTCCAACTTCGGTTCAAATTCTGTTTTATATGTCAACAAATATTTTTCCATTTTTAAAGAATATTCAAAATAATCCTCAAAAAAATAATTATTTTCTCAAATTAAAGTGATCAATTAGGCGTAAAAAGCTAAAGACCAAAATCAATAATATAGATTAGTAAATCAAAATATATATTAATAATTTATAATTACACAAGCTCAAACAAACAGATATAATATATATAGATATTAAAGATGTGTGCGGACATTTCGACTTACTTTTAAGTCATCTTCAGCGCAAATTTTGTAACGAAAATAGAGCATTTTATAAAAAAGTTCGCAGAAAAAGAAAGCAATATAATTATACGCAGAAAGAATATAAACTAATACTAATCTTAAAGGAGATACAACTCTAAACGCAATGGTTGTTCATAGTTAATTGTAAATGGCTTCCAATTATTTCCATATGAAGTGAAACCACTCTCATTTGGGTTAATTGGCCCAAAGTTGAGTATGGTTCCTTGGAAAATCTGTAAAACCGTATAAAAATAAAAATAAAAATAAAAATAAAAGTAAATAGACTATAGGAAATTATTAAACAATGTAAGTGTTTTGAAGGGTCAAATAATGATTGAAAATAAAATTAATAATAGGTTTTAAATAAATAATGAAAAGGAAAAAAATGAGTCAATAATATAAAACAATGCTTGTCATTGGTATAAAAATCAAAGATATATGCGGTCCAATAACAATTAGATAATTAAAATAATAAAATAAAAAATATAAAAAATACAAAAAGTAAAAAATAATTTTTATAATTAAACTTGTGCAGAATTTAAAAAGTTTTATATGAACATAAAAATCATTAAGATACAAATAACTTACATTGCCATGAGGAACAAAGTTGAACATGTATATCGTTAAAAGAATCTATCTGAATTATGTTAACATTTTTAAAAAATTCTTCTGTATCACTTTCTCTTACGAAGGCAAGAATATAAATGACCAAAATAACGTACAGTTAGTCATATAAATTTCTGTGTATGACCCTAGGAAGACAGACCCTGACAGACACTAGGAAGTTTATTTATTAAATCGTTGTAAATGTTAGGAAAATATTCTGTATCCGTTTGTAAATTTAAACCGTTACGTTGTCGTTTAATGCATAGCATTTCAGAAATTAACCTTTTGTTATAAAAGGATTCTTGATCTAATATCTTGACGTCATCTCATTTGAATTCATGATCAAAATTCAACCTATGTTCGATAATAACAGACTTATTAGTTGTACATCTATCGATATGTTTCTTATGTTCATTTCATTCTTGTAATTAATTTCCTGCCTGTCTGTCCAACATAGGATGCGTCGCAATTTCCGCATTCAATTTTGTAGACGACATTCGTGTTCGAAACTTTCGGGATGACGTCTTTATGGGCCCTAATGATTGTGTTGAGTTTATTAAGACTATAATATGACAACATAGTATTCGTGTCTTTAAGAATGTATCTTAAATTATCAGTTAATGCTGGTAGAAATGGAACCGTGAAATATGATGAAGCCTCTTTTTCGATTACGGAATTAGATGTAGATGTACGTGTCAAATAGTGGAGTCTATGAGTAATCGTATCAAATATAAATTTTAATAGATAACCATTATTAAGTAAAATCTCAATAATGAGTATAATATTCTTGCGATGAAATATCGGATGCGACAATATAAAGGCTCTGTCAATTAGGCTAATTATTGTGCCTCTTTTTTGGCAGTCAGGATGTTGTGATAGAAAATTCAAATATCTACTTGAATATGTTGGTTTATGGTACCAATCAAAATATAGTTTATTATTATCTGATATAATCGTAATTACTAGAAAATTAAGAGACTTATTATTTTCAACTTCCAATGTGAATTGTAATCTAGAGTTGAATGAATTAAAAATAGTTAGTATATGGTCAGTAAGATTGGAAGGACACGCGGTGATTATGTCATCAACATATCTAAAATAGAGTGGTGGTATAAAATTAATTGTATTTAGAGCCCTGTTTTCAATATCTTGCATCACTATATCCGCTATAATTGGTGAAAGGGGGGAAGCCATTGGAGTGCCATATAATTGTCGATAAAAAGTGTTGTTAAAAACAAAAAAGGTGGAATTTAACACCATTTTCACTCCTAATAAAAATTCGGATTTTAGAAGATCCGTGTCATCTTTGATATATTTCCATCTATTTGAAATATCAATAGCGAGGTCAATAGGAATATTAGTGAAGAGTGATGGCGGAGTTGACTCCCACGTCAAGGGAGATAAGTTTGTAATCACTATCTAATTGTACATTATTCAACTTTTTTATCAACTCAAAACTGTTGCACAAGTTTAATTATAAAAATTATTTTTTACTTTTTGTATTTTTTATATTTTTTATTTTCTTATTTTAATTATCTAATTGTTATTGGACCGCATATATCTTTGACTTTTATACCAATGACAAGCATTGTTTTATATTATTGACTCATTTTTTTCCTTTTCATTATTTATTTAAAACCTATTATTAATTTTATTTTCAATCATTATTTGACCCTTCAAAACATTTACATTGCTTAATAATTTCCTATAGTCTATTTATTTTTATTTTTATTTTTATTTTTATACGGTTTTACAGATTTTCTAAGGAACCATACTCAACTTTGGGCCAATTAACCCAAACGAGAGACGTTTCACTTCATATGGAAATAATTGGAAGTTTACAATTAACTATGAACAACCGTTGCGTTTAGAGTTGTATCTCCTTTAAGATTAGTACTAATTTATATTCTTTCTGCGTATAATTATACTGCTTTCTTTCTCTGCGAACTTTTTTATAAAATGCTCTATTTTTGTTACAAAATTTACGCTGAAGATGACATAAAAGTAAGTCGAAACGTCCGCACACATCTTTAGTATCTATATATATTATATCTGTTTGTTTGAGCTTGTAATTATGAATTATTAATATATATTTTGATTTACTAATCTATATTATTGATTTTGGTCTTTAGCTCTCTACGCCTAATTGATCACTTTAATTTTGAATTTACAGAGAGCTTTATTACTTTTTGTTTCTCAATATAGTTTTGAACATCTTATAGATTATAAGAAATCCAGATAAATATCGGATTTGTATTAACAATAATACAAATAGATAATAAATAAATGGATGAGAAATTCTAAACTACTGAAATTTCTATACTTTTATTTGAATTTACTTAGTTTAATTAAAATCATTTATGCAATATCTATTGATTTAAGATATTTTATTTTCATATTGAACATAAAAATACCAGATTATATTTGAATACCATATTTTTAAATATATCAAGATTGATATATTGAATAACATAGACAATGTATTCATAGTTCATTCTTACATTTAAGATTATTTTAAGTACAGTCTCAAGCCTCTTTTTAAGATTCCATTCAACCAATAAAATGATATAACATTTTGAAATCTTAAGATGATCTTAAATATAAGAATAGACTATGAGCTCCAAGCAATTTGTAATGAGATGTTCAAATTAGAGATGAAATGTTCCAAACTAATTATTTTAAGCAATTATTTTAACAGTAGACAACTTGTTGAAATATAAAACTATTATTAATTATTTATTATTATTGAAGTATAAAATAAGATATAATTCTGAAATAAACTTATATATTTTATGAATACTTTCATTAGTTTTGTTTCTTATATTTACCATTATATTTCATATAGTAAATAGTCTATGTTATTCAATATTCATGAATGGACTAAATATTAATCACTTACAGAATAACATTAATAAACCTGATTTTCTAAAATTATAATTTTCCAAAATTATGCATAATAAATATAAATATAAATATAAAATATGTAGTTGCAAACAATATAGATTTAATTATAAAAATGTTTTTCAAAGCAAAATGCATACATACCAATAATATATCTATTTGCATAGAGGATTGAAGGATAGTTTATATTAGTATTAGCTCCCATATTGTATGTAGCAGCAATATTAAATATTCCTTTACTAGAATGAGTTTTGATATCATATACTGCTATTTCATTCTGTTGTCCTCCACGTAAGCTAATAATTTTTGCACTTGGTGGTGGTGTTAATTCATATATATGATTCGTATTATTGCTTGATATATCAACATATACATTACTTAATGTTGCAAGCGGGCATGCACCTTGAAGTCCCATTCCAAAAAATTTTCGTATTGACCAATCCTAAGCAAATTAAGAACATTAATAATTTAGCAACACGTTTAACAGCACGTAATTTATGATTTTATTACATCTATTTTTACCTGATTCATGTCTATCATTATATCATATATTAAGGAGACAGTTTGTCGCAATTCTAAAGAAATTCTTGTGCAAGTTATATCACGACATATTGATCGAAAATGTATTCCAATAGAGTGATAATTTGTATTATGAATATGTGCAGAATTTAGTAATGTTGCTAGACCTCTCTAGAGAAAAAGTTGATTAAATGTTACAATGAAAATAATAATATACATAGTTTACAATTTGTGAATACCTTGGAATCGCATGGCAATAATTTCTTAAATGGTGTTAGATTTTCTGTACAAACTATCTCCTTTGGTAATGATGAATAACGTAAGTGATTAGCATTTATTAGTCCATCCATAACTAGTCCAGTAGGACGAAAGGTAAACTCTGGTGACATACTATTAGATGTATCAATAAAATTCAGAGATGCACAAAGTAATCCAGCTAAAGCATTTGTCAAACCTTTCCATTCTTTATCTATGCTATAAAAAAATTTATTATATTTTTAAAAAATCTTTCTATATAATTGAAATAAATTTCTATATAATTAAGCAATAAAATTTCTCTTAAGTAAAATTATATTATTCTGTATATTTAATACATCAGAAATTAAAGTCACAACAATTGAAATAATTTGTTTCGTGGTCTCATAAATTTAAATATCAATGAAGCATTTAATATGAATGTTTTATTATATTATTTTTGATATTATACATAATTATTTCAGATTATTATTAATATGAAAATTTATTATAAAATAAATACTATTTCTTACTTTGTTACATTCTTATTAAACCAGGCAGTAATTTCAGCACCAGGTCCAGCATCATGAAATGGATATCCCCATTTTTGATAATTCCATAAACCTTCTGTTAAAGTAACATGTAACTCATCGATATTATGACGTCCTATGATTTCACCCAATCCTCTTGGAAAGAGATGCAAATGTTGAACTAAAATTATATTTTTTTTACACTTATGTGAATAATTTAAACTTACTACTTAAATATTTACTTACGCGCTTCTATATGTTTTGCTGTTTCCCATATTGTGGTAAATTGAAAATAAGCATAAATATGATTACTTGATAAAGGTTTTAACATTAATTCCTCGTCGAAGAAATCATTGTATGCATTATTACATGTTATCAAGCCAGAAAACAATAATATATACAAGGTTACCATATTATTTTAAGTTGCACTAATTAAATAATTTCGTTTTAAGTTAATAACTATTTTTATGAGATAAATATTTTTTTACATTTAGTAATGCATTGAATAATATGTGTATATCATATGATCGTTGTTATTGCTTAATTTTAACCTTGGTACTCCAGTGTGCATATACCTAGGCCCATTGAATAAAGAATAATATGAGGAGCATGTGCGACTCGACTGACGGTTATATTTCGAACTACAGTTAAGTCCTATGCACAATGAAAAACACGAGACACCTCCGATTAGACACAGTACAATTGAACACAACTGGCTTTGATTGGCTAATCGTGCTTGATCGTGCTGGTTACCCTAGGCATCAGTCGATATGATTGGCTGTGTCTAATCATACTGTGTCTAATCGAGCAATCCTCGAAAAACACAGGCAATAGATTTCAACCTATCGGAAACCGTGTATCAATGCACAATGAAAAATATAGGAACGTGGAACAGGCAGAGAGAAACCTGAGAGCGGTCACCAGCCTCGACGGGCACATTTCTCGATGCTTGACGCGCCGTCTGACAAAATGGACGTGAACTATGTCCATTACGCTCGGTAACGAAACATGGTTTGTGTCTATGATATGGGTTCATGTCCGAACTATTCAGAGATGGACAGTCGGATAAGAATCGATAATTCATCGTTCTGTCTTTGTCTCATCAATGACAGACCACACGACTGCCACGCGACGAGCTTATGATTTTGCTTTCCTCTTTCTCTCGTCGCGCTTTCACGTTCTTCGTATATGATGTAATAACGAAATGATCTTCACATAATCCTAATTTTTTAAGGGTATTGGCAGACAAGTTTTCCAACTTTGTATGTCTTGTAACAAAAATACAACACATTATGAAATTACGATTACATGCTTACTTCAAGCTGCCATAGCAATTGGTATACCGAATGTTTGGTAAAAAAAATTTTTTTATGTCAGGCGTGTTGGTTATAATCAATTCGATAAAGTGCTACTTCATAATAGCGCGTAGCAGTGCAAGTAAGATGACTGCTTGTCACGGCGCTGACCCGAGTTCGAATCTCTCTGCTGTCGTTTTTTTTATTTTTATTTTATGAAATAATAAAATAACAAATAATATGTATTGAATTTGTGAGCAGAAAAGGCAAAAAATTAATAAAATAATGACAATTATTGCACAAAAACATACTTGTATTGCCTATCCATGTATTGCATCTTGTATCCTTCTGCATTGGAAATCGGAATAGCCGTTTCCTATGCGAAAATCTCCCATTCTTACATTCTTTACTTTATTTCTGTACACGCACTTATCATAATAACTATCTATAGGGCACTGACTCGACATAGTGATTGTTTATTATAATGCAAAACAAAAAAATATAAAAATAAAATTAAAAAAACTTAAAAATAGAAATAAAAGAGAAATACAACACGTGATAAAAAATTTAAAAAATTACACAACCAACACAATAAAAGCATACACGCATGTACGTGTACACGCAGAAATATTTACAGATAATGTGTCGTGTTATATAAAAGAAACGATAATACGTGTTGCAAAATACACAGATCTTACAGATCGTTAAAAAAATATAAATTTAAAACAATAGAAAAGATCTGTTATGCACAGATAATGAAGTACCGCAGACAAATCACGACAGTGAAACGTAATTCTTTCATATATTAATAAAAGATTAAAGAATCTGTTTATTGTTAATGTAAAGTTATTTTGTATATCATCATACAAAATCATCATATAAAGAATTATAGTTTCACAAACTGATTTATCTATCTTTTTATTATTATTTTCAAAATTAAATATAATTACATAAAAAATGATTACATAAAATTAATCATCCGAATTATCGATCTCATCAAGACATAAGCCAGGATGATATTTATCATAAAAACATGAAAAACAATGTAATACAATATCTAGCGCATTGGATGCTGTATTGTGCCGTATATGTGTGAGCAATCTTATTAAAACTTTATTTTTTTACAAGAAAATTATTCACATCATTCGATACACTAGATGTTATATTACATTATGTTTTTCATGTCTAACACTAACACGCAAATGCATCAAAGTAAGATATCATTCGCATTGATATATATATTTTTTTAATTAATTAATTATTTAAAAAATATATAAAATAAAATATTACTATAATAATATGAGAGTTGTAAGCATTTATGAAATACAGATATAATTATTTTAAATAAAAAGAAAAGGTTTTATTAAAAAACATTTTTAATAAATGTCTTTATAATAAATAAATAAATTTGTCTCTATATATTGGGCGCCCGAAGTCGTCTCGAAATCCTATCCGAATTATGTAAAATGTAGCGCGTGAAATATGAGACGGGGCCGACAAGGGATGGAAGGAGACATGAGCTTTACGATAGAAAATCACCGCTCGCCTCATGCCTACCGCCGCGTGATTTGCCATCATTGGTGAGACAAAATCAGAACGATAGATTATCGGCTCTTGTCTAACTCTCATGTCCATGTGAATAGTTCAGATATGAACTATAGCTCGGACATGAACCATAGCTCAGATACGAACCATGTATTATTATCGACTGTAATGGATGTAGTTGACGTCCACTTTGTCAGGCGGCGCATTAGGACAATGTGCCCGTTAAAGCGAGGTGGCCGCTCTCAGGTTTCTCTCTGGAACAGGCAATAGGAATAAAATTTTCGACCTGACCAATCACAGTGATATGATTTTATGTACTTTCTTCTTCCGCTGAGTTCTGATTGGACGGCTCTTGTCGCTATCGCCGTCATTGTGAATTGACGACGATAATTTCTTATTTCTTGTTCCCTGTTTCCTGTTTCTGTTGCTTGTGCTTTTCATTGTGCATAGGGCTTTAGCTACACTCTCAGCTGCTTTTGAGACACCTAAGGCCGGTCTTATATTTAAGATTGTCTTAAGTCTGGTCATTCATAGTCCGATCTTATATTTAAGATTGTCTTAAGTCTGGTCCGAGGTTGACTTGAGACCTCATTCAACCAATCAAATGACTGCGTAGCATTTCAAGCTCGAACTTAAGACGATCTCAAATATAAGGTCGGACTATGAATACCGGCCTAAGAGTAGCATTCACTATATACTACCAGTATATAATACCTTTGGGAACACTCACAAGGGGAGGTCGTGACCTTGGGAACACCGATTTGAATAAAATTTTAAGTGCGTGTAGTACTCGACCAAAGAAGTTTTTGAGGAAAGTGAGAGAACGCAACGCTCAGCCGTTTTTGAAAAAAACCAAGTGAAAAATATGCCGTATCTTGTATACCGGTAAGTTTAGACTGAGTCAAGTAAGCGGCGTAGCTCGGGCGGTAAAGCCCGAGACTATTATGCTGCTGGTCACTGGTTCGATCCCAACCTGTGGTAGTTTCTTTTTTTTTCATTTTTTTTACGCGAAACCTACAATATTTTTTTAAATGAAATAAATTTAATAAATAATTTAATTTTTTGTTTTTATTTTGTTTTTATTTTAGGAAAGGCAATTTAATTTATTTATGATATATCGTGTTAGAGATTTCGCGAGATTAACGCGGGATGCGAGCGCGACGCGGGATGATGAAAAGTCCACAAGGAAAGGAAAGTCGACGATAAGTCTATGTGTATATTTGCTAGTATTGTCATTTATTATAATCAAAAAAATATAAATACTAATTACACAGTCTTAATTTCAATTACGCGAAACCAATCGGGAAATTCGAGCAGAATTTCGCGAGCAACGGAGACGATTAATTTAATCCGCGAGCGACGGAAAGACGTTTTAGATAATCGAAGTTTAAGCGAGCGCTTTGAAGACTTTTTAGCAAAAGGCGCGGTGTCCCGCGGGCGCGTCAATTTATAGTGGAGCCCTTCTCGAAAGATCCCGATTTTTCTAGAACTCGGCAGTTGCTTATTCAACGTTCAAATTGAGCGTTAAAGATTTATTTATTTTCCTCGGATCTTTCGAGAAGGGCGAGCGCTGTTTTTAAATTGCGCTGACAAAGCGATATCCCGCTATCGACTGCCAGGACCGCCGACAATCGCTTGGGCCCTCGCTCTTTTTTATTATGCAGCGATGATGTTTTTGAACATTTCCGCCCGCCTCGCCAAGAGCGTTTGGCGAAATTGATATGCTGGCGGAGGATACGCTGCCCGTCGTGCGATCCGATCTATTGCGGCTGAGGCTCGTAATCCCCACGGTCGTTGATGGGTAGCACGACGAGTTTCACGACGAGCCGTACGAATTCGGAGGCGGCGGTGCGCACGGTGACTACGCGAACTTGACCATCTTCTCCGGGGTGGATTCTTGTGATACGCGCGAGTGGCCATTTCGTGGGTGGTGTGATCTCGTTCCGGAGAAGACAAAGTCGGCCGACTTTGAAGCGCGTCTCTTCGCGCAACCACTTAGGGCGGTGAGTTATGGAGTGGAAGTACTCCTTCGACCAGCGTTCCCAAAAGTGATCTCGCATTTTTTGCAGGAGCTGCCAGCGGGATAAGCGAGACGTCGGTTGATCCAGCAAGGACGGTTCGGGCACTGCAGTCAAGGCGGCTCCTACTAAGAAGTGTCCGGGCGTCAGCGCAGCTAGATCCTCAGGGTCGTCCGAGAGTGCCTGCAGCGGCCGCGAATTAAGGCACGCTTCGATTTGAGTGAGGAGGGTGCTCATCTCCTCGTATGTCAGCTTGGCGTCGCCAATTACCCGTCGGAGATGATGTTTGAGCGACTTGACTGCGGCCTCCCATATACCTCCGAAGTGCGGTGCTGAGGGAGGATTGAACTTCCACTCGATCCTCTCGGAGATGAGACCGTCGACGATCCGGCGGCTTTCTGACGTGCCTGCGGTGAAGAGGGCTTTCAGCTGAGAATCCGCTCCCACAAAGGTTGTTCCGCAGTCGCTCCGAAGACTGCGACAGATGCCTCGGCGAGAGATGAACCGTCTGAGAGCCGCAAGGAAGGCTTCGGCCGTGTAATCGGAGACCACTTCAAGGTGTACGGCTCTGGAAGCAAGGCAGACGAAGACTGCCACGAAGGCCTTGTAGGAGCGGTGTCCGCGCCCCTTGATTGTGCGGAGTTGAACTGGCCCGGCATAATCGACCCCGGTGTGAAGAAAAGGCCTCGCTGGAACTACGCGTTCTCGTGGAAGATCGCCCATCAACTGTTGGAGGGTCGCCGCCCGCCATCGCACACAAGGAAGACATCGCAGGATAGCCTCTTTGACAAGTGCTCGACCTCGTGGAATCCAGTATCGCTGGCGGATTAATGATAAAGTGAGCTGCGTTCCGCCGTGCAACGCTCGTTTATAGCAGTCGTCCACGATTAGCCGAGTGAAGTGCGAGCCCTTTGGCAGGAGGACGGGATGACGCTCGTCATAGGCCAAGATGGAGTGCTTGAGCCGACCTCCAACCCGCAGGAGACCCTCGGAATCTAAAAGGGGACTAAAGCGAGCAAGTGAGTTTGATTTATTGAGTGCAAGGCCCTGGCTTATTAATTTTAATTCGGTCCTGAAATTTTCAGACTGTACTCGCCGGATCCAACAAACTCGAGCTCTTTCTATCTCTTCTGCGGACAGAGTACCGGGAAAGCTCCGGTGAGTGCCAGTAGCATGGCCTTCCTTCACTCTCAGCCACCGTCGACACCAGGCTGTCACACGTAGGAGTCTCTTCAGGGAGGAGAATCGCACCAACTCGGCGGCCTCGCTCGTCGATGCTGCTGTGGCCTTGACGTGGATTCGGGTGCGCCTCTCCGGCAGGTGCTCCTCGGTGATGTGATCGACGGCAGTCGGCTATGCGGCTGCTTCTAACCTTAGCCAGGGCGGACCTTGCCACCACAGCGGATGACCCAGCAGTTTTTTGGGGGGAGAGACCTCGGGAAGCGCAGTCGGCTGGGTTGTCCTGGCCTGGTACGTGATGCCACGCAGCCTGCGGGGTGGTCCTCTGGATCTCGGAGACGCGGTTCGCGACGTAGGTCTGCCACCTGGATGGATGGCCGCGGATCCAGCCCAGCGCGACGGTAGAGTCCGTCCACAAGTGAAGTGGCGCAGTTAGATCGAGGATTTCCATGGCGTGCTTGGCTAGGCGGCAGAGAAGCACGGCGGCGCTCAACTCCAAGCGAGGTAACGACACCTGTTTGAGCGGCGTGATCTTTGTTTTGGCGGTGACTAGACTGACAATCCACGAATCGTTTGACCATGTTCTCAGGTCATGACGGCGGAATACGCTCGTTCTGAGGCGTCGGAGAAGCCATGGACCTCGACGCGGGTGCAAGATGGATTCAGATTGATCCAGCGAGGTACTCGGATTTGCTCGAGTGCTGGTATCTGGGCGTGGAAGGCGACACAGGCTGACGCGGAGACGTCGTCGAGCGGGGCATCCCACTCGAGTCCTTGAAGCCAAGTTGATTGGAAGGCAATCTTGGCGCGGACCACGACCGACACTAGCCAGCCGAGAGGGTCGAATAGTTGCGCCACCAAGGACAGCACGGATCTCTTGGTGACGGATGACAGCGCAATGTGCCGGATGGTGAAGGAGAAGTCGTCCGTGGCGGGGTGCCACTGTAATCCCAAGGTGGAGTGAGCTTCGTGCGGTCTCCAGTCACGGGTCTCGCGCTGCAACCGATGCTCCGGCGGGATGTCCGAGATCGCAGCTGAGTCGTTGGCTGACCACTTCCGGAGAGGAAAGCCGCCCGCCATGCAGATACTGGACAGCTGGCTGCACATTTCCTGGATCTCCGCAATTGTCGACGCTCCGATCAAGATGTCGTCCATGTAGAGGTCTCGTAGAAGCGCGGCCGCTCCCAGAGGGTACTGCTTTCCTTGGTCTTCGGCTAACTGTCTCAGAGCGCGCATTGCTAGAAACGGCGCACACGCCAGGCCGTAGGTCACCGTGCTCAGCTGATATTCCGCAGGACTGCCTTGCGGGGAATCACGCCACAGGATCCTTTGCAGATCCCTATCGTCCGGATGCACCAGGATCTGCCGGAACATCTTCTCGACGTCGGTGGCTAGGACGAAACGGTGCTGTCGCCAACGGAGCAGCACGTCGGCGAGCGGAGGCAGCAAGTTCGGGCCTACCATTAGGTGGTCATTCAAGGTTTTGCCCGAGGCAGTCGGCGTTGAACCGTTGAAGACCACGCGCAGCTTCGTGGTGACGCTGCTCTTTCGCAGGACGCCGTGATGCGGCAAGTAATGCACCGGCCTACGTGATGTGGCGTCCGGAGTTACGCGAGACATATGGTGCAAGTCTTCGTATTGCCGCATGAAGTCCGCGTAGAGAACATGAAAGGGAGGATCCCGAGCGAAACGTCTCTCCATGCTGAATTGTCTTACGATGCATTTTTGACATGGTGATAATGTGGTATCTCTACTATAAAACCTCGTGCCGGGACCTCGTTGCCGCATCAGAAAGTTTCAAAGAGTGCATACAAGTACGTGAAGAAGACATAAAAAAATGGAGTACATTTATGAAAATTGCCCGGAATGGAAGAAGCGATTTTCTAACCTGCTCTGCGTCTTATTAGTGAAACTGGCGTTTCACTGGGAGGTAAGTATTGCATTTGCTAATATTTTATAAAAAATTTGTATATCTATATTAATTATATTTTTTTATATAGTCCCAAGATGATATCCAGATTCCGGGCTTTATAAACATACAGCGCCGGCAGTGGGTGCGGGCGGAGCGGCGGTGGAGGAGACACGACCTCTCCTTCATGTGGGGTGACGCTCCGGAGAGTCCCCCGAATGACGAGGACATTTTTGACCTTCGGCGGCTCTTCGGGGAAGAGCCCTATATGGAGGAGGAGATTTGGGTGCCCGGGGAGTTTCGGGCACCCAATGGTGTACAGAATGGGGAGCACAGATGTAAGTATTTTTATAAATTTTATTATAACTATATATATATATATATATATATAATTTTTTTTTCTGTTACAGGAACGGCCCCCTCACCTGGCTCCCCTGGCCCCTCCACCCCCCCCCGCACCCCCAAATTATTTTTATTATTATTATTATATTATTATTTTATTATATTATTATTATATTATTATTATATTATATTTAAATCGTAAAAATTATAATCATAATTTTAAGTACACACACGCACACACACACACACACACACACACAAAATGTATAAAAACACACACATTTTTAATAAATTTTATTTAATTTTAATTGAGAAAAAAATCTAATTATTTACGCGCCTTTCCTCGCGTCCCCATCCTTGCGTCTCTCTTGCGCTAGTTGTAAGTCTCGCGATATTATCGTTCTCTCTCGCACGTGTTATCTTCGCGGTATCGTTCTCTTTCGCACGCGCTAATTGTAAGTCTTCGCGCTATCGTTCTCTCTCGCACGCGCTAATTGTAAGTCTCGCGATATTATCGTTCTCTCTTGTACACGTCTTGGCGCTATCGTTCTCTCTTTCATATGCGTTCTCTCTCACTCGCGTTGTTCTTGCGCTATCGTTCTCTCTCGCACGCATTGTTTCTCAATATTATCGTTCTCTCTCTTTCATATACTCGTTGTTTACTTACCTTTGCGTCGTTCTTCTCCCACCTATACGCCGTCCTTGTTCCACGTTAACGCCATCCTTGTCGCGTTCGTAGCACTGTCCTCTTCATACACTTTGCACTGTCCTTTTCCCATACGTTGCGCTGTCCTACTCACACCACCGTCTTCTTTCCGCTGATCCCCCTTCACCGCGCGGACCCCCTCGTCCATCGCTCGCGCCGCGGATCCCTCTTCACTGCGCGGACCCCCTCGTCCATCGCTCGCGCCGCGGATCCCCCTTCACTGCACGGACCCCCTCGTCCATCGCTCGCGCCGCGGATCCTCCTTCACTGCGCGGACCCCCTCGTCCATCGGTCGCGCCGCGGTTCCCCCTTCCCCGCGAGTGACGTCACCCGCCGCGCGCCGCAGTTCCTCCTTCCCCGCGCGTGACGTCACTCCCCCCGCACCGCGGTTCCCCTCGCGCCTCACCCCCCCTGAGAGGTCCTGGGTTAGAACTGACATAGTATACCTACTATTGTATATTCCTATCTTATTGTATTTGGTCTCATGCGCGCGGTTTGGCTCGAGGCGGACCACTGTGCGCCGCGTCCAATAAATTTATACCTCGATCGCCTCTGGCTAATCGCTTCCGCAATCGCGTGCCTGGGCCGCAAAACTGATAGCCGGGAATATGGAATTCGATCGGAAGCGCGTTTATCGCACGATTTAAGAGACCGCAGCCTCTTACGATTCTCGCTGACATACGTAACAATCTTTTATCAACGGAGGCGGACCGTCAATGTGCGTTCGCTGCCACGGCTGGTTGTAATGTCGCATGCACGAACGATATTGTCGAACCTCCGGATCAGCCTTTATATATTCAGGAAGCTTGTCCCACAATCGTTCCACGTAATCACCGAAATTTTCCAGTAAAAGAATCTTCGGAATATACTGCAGCTGTTTGGCGGTAAGTCCGAGAATGTCTCTCTCGTCCGACAGAAGGAGAAACATTTTTGATACTGAGCGGTTTCGAGTCGAGACACCTCTATTAATTGGTCTCCCCCTCGCGATCATTCGCAAAATTGGTTCGAAACAGAAAACATGCGGTTCATACGACAGCCTTTGACGATACACGTGACGAATTGTGACGACAGATTACGCTCGATGGGGGACAACGCGGAGATGCGCAGACACGGTACGATGTTACCGACTACTATACGCGCGATCGTTTGCGGTCCCTCGAATTGTGGTAAAACCAACGTTTTGATAAGTCTACTGGAAAGTCCACACGGTGTACGTTTCGAGAACGTGTACGTGTACTCAAAGTCGCTGCAACAGCCGAAATATCGATATCTGGAGAATTTATTGACGCCGATCGACGAAATCGGCTATTTTACGTTCTCAAATAACAGTGACGTCATTCCACCGTGCGAGGCACGTCCAAACTCGATTTTTGTCTTCGATGACGTGGCGTGCGACAAGCAAGATACGATAAGAGAGTACTTCTCAATGGGTCGTCACTCGAACGTCGACTGCTTCTATCTTTGTCAGACGTACGCGAGAATACCGAAACATCTTATATGCGACAACGCGAACCTGCTGATCTTGTTTAAACAAGACGGTACAAATTTAAAACACGTGTACAACGATCACGTGAATACCGATATGTCGTACGAGGATTTCAGTGAATTATGCCGTACTTGTTGGCAGCAAAAGTATGGATTCCTAGTGATTGATAAGGACAGCGCGCTTACGAACGGGCGATACAGAAAAGGATTTAATGTGTTCGCGATACCGCGAAACGATTAGTCGCTGTCGACATTCCGTCGAGAAGGGTGAAACGCTCGACGTTCCGTCAACATAGCTGGAAACGATAATATTCGCGAGCGTGAAAAGATTGCGCGGGAGATTGAGAAAACGAGCGAATCGATCCGCAAGAAACATCGCGCTTTGAAGACCGGTAAGATCGACGAAGATATCGCGGTCACGACTCATTTTAGACCTATTATTGAGCCGCTGCAAAAGATCGTCGACAACTCTAGCGCAATCGCGGTGAAAAAAGAGCCAGAGAGTAACGCTATAATTAAAACGTTACCCATCAAGCGATATAAGGAAGAGGAGGAGGAGGAGGAGGAGGAGGAGGAGGAGGAGGATGCGACACCGAAAAAGAGGAAACGATCGGTGAAAGCGAAACGTTTATCAATGTCGCATATATCTGATCTATCGGAGACTTTATCGGATGAACCACCGATAACCTCTACACCGTTCGCGCCGAGAATCGCACAACCCGCGATACCCGAATCACTCGCGATCGAAGATGTTTTCGAAACTACGGGCAATCCACCCGAAACATCCGTTTGAAACATGTTACAAACGTCGGAAGGTCAAGAAGTGTTACGAGAGAACTTGGGACCACTGGGGCAAAAATACATGGGCGCTCTTCTTAGCGATGACGAAAGAAAAAAAACGCGATCGATCACGTGTACGGCGTCTATTTCGACGAGAATGGAATGCGTCTCGGTAACAAACGATTCGGCATTGACAAAGATGACTCTATAATCATAGACAATGTAAGATACATCGGTATACCGGGATTATACGAGTTGATCTTCATGAGAATTCCCAATGACGCCATATACACTAAGGACGATGCGCAAAAATATAAGAGCATATTGATGGCGACGAGTGCGCATAAACGTCGATATAATGCACAAGGTCAATTAAGGAGCAATAAAGGATACAAGTATAAACAAATAATCGCGCCGTTAATGTTGATTCGAATCAAAAAAGAAAAAAACGGGAACGGGAGTATTCACGCCTCATGCGATGACGCTAACCGACAATAAGATCAATTACGTGCACTGGGACGATCCCAACGAGCTAGTGGATCGCCTGCGATTGCTCGATGCTTCGCGTCGAGCTGGCCACAACGCTCACGACAACGAGATCTTGTCGATCATAGAGGAACTTCGCGAAGCCGGCATTATTATAAATTAAACGGCGCCTCGACGAAACTAATCAGTCGATCGACGACACTCGCATCGAAAAACAATGCCTATCAACAAATTTGGATTATTCGAACGGAGAAACGAAGAAATCAGCACGAGCGATCATTGGGGGTAAATTGGTGACGAGTTACTTGCGTCAAAACGCTCTGTGTCGCGTCGCAACGGACTATGACGCGAGGTCGCGCAAGATTCGCCGTGTAGCGCAACCTGAGGCTGATACCGATGCGGTCAACAAACTGTACGTGGAAGAATGCGTTAAAACGTTGAAAAATCAATGGAAAGAATCAGACGAGAAGCTGACTGCGTTCGAGAAGGACCTGCGATCTTTGCAGACTGCGATAAACGAGCTTCGTCGTACGATTAACGTTAATTCAGAAACAGTTATCAACCTGTAATGTGCTGTAGTGAACGGCTTAGGAGCGGCTATTGTACAATTATTAAACATCTAGAAAGGTTTACCGAACGGCTACGAACGATTATCCAACGGTTATCGAGCTATAATGAGTGGCTGTGATCGAAGAGGAAACGGTCTCGAACGAAGCTACGAACGATTCAAGAACAGCTGCGAACGAGGCTACGAGCATCTCAAGGACGGCTGCGAACAAGGCTATGAACATGTCAGGAACGGCTACATACGGATGCGGCTACATCAGGAACGGCATACAAGTCCACAACGGCTACGAACGAGTCAAAAACAATTGTCAACGAGGCTACGAACGGGTCAGAAACGACTGCGAACGAGGCTACGGATTGCTTAAAAACGACTATCAACAGGGTCAATCGCGCCAACAAAGGGATCAAGAACGGCAGTGAACGGCAATTGAACGGCAGTGAATGGCTAAGGAACGGCTATAAACGACAATCTAACAGGTCAGCAACGGCAATCAAACGGCTATTAAACGGGTCAGCAACGGCAATCGAACGGCAGTGAACGGCAATTGAACGGCTACGAACGGCAATTAAACGGCTACGAACGGCTATTGAACGGCTAATTCGATCGACGAATCGAAACAACGATGGGCCGACGATCGGGAATAACCGGTGAAGCGAAGAAACAACATAGTTTAGAGATACGGCAGTTGGTGAACGAACTGCACACACCGAGAAAAAATTTCCTCCGAAGACACGTAATAGTGCGGGGATCAGTGTTCCGATTAGGGATTCCGTGCGCGCGCATGTGTGGTTCTGCGCATGAGCAATCGTGACGTCACAGGTGATTACAGTAACGTACTAAGCATGTGTGTAATAACGTGTATAGTTTTGGCGGGACGCTATCGCCATGACAGGAGGAGGACAAGAAAGATCAATAGGAGGATCGATAAGAAGATAAATAGGATATAAGCTAAGTGTTTATTATTTTAAATCGTAAGATGGACGGTTTTGTACAAAAAAGAGCTAAAAAATCGAGAGTCAGACGTTTCCAATCATCATGGTTAGATGAAAATATTTTTAAAGGATGGTTAGCTCGCCATCCTACGGAAGATACAGC